GCTGTTTTCTTCTAGATATATTTGTCTTTGAAAGTTTATACTGTATTCATTTACTCCTTTACTATGAGGGCTTTGCAGGAAACAAAACTAAACTTATGTTCAATCTGGTATGTTTAAACAGAAACCAAATGAAGTTAAATCTGATCCTAAAAATGTCAGGCCTATCTTGTGTGGGCCCCATTATCTACGTAAGATTGCCTGCTATCTGCTCCTGCCACTCAATAAAACACCTCTATGTGTAGGCCAAGAATTCCCTCACCTCAAACCCACTCTTCCTACATTGCTTCTTTTTTATAATAGTTCTGAAGCTATTAAGTTGCTTTTCACTACCTTGAAGAGCACAATCTCAAAATCCCAGGCTTCCTTGACAGAATTTGCAAACCATACAGTTCAGCAGTATTAATATTCATGATATTGTGCAACCACCACCACCATCCATCTCCACAACTCTTTTCTCTTTACAAAACAGAAACTCTACACCCATTACATAATGACTCCCCACTCCTCTCCCACATCCGACTGTGGCAGTCACCACACTCTGCATGATTTTGACTATCTCATATAAGAACTATACAGTATTTTCCCTTTTATGACTGGCTTATTCCACTTAGCATAATGTTTTCATTTATCCAGTGGTTGTTTTAGAGTGTATTAATTTCCACAAATGTGTAAATTTCCATTTTACCTTTTGTTGATTTCTGACTTTATCCCATTATGGTTGGAGAAAATATTTTAAAAACTATTTTTAAAAAATCTACTGAGACTTAATCTGTGACCCAACATATCTTATATGCTGTAAAATTTCTTGTGCACTTGAGAAGAATGTGTATGCTGTTGCTGGGTAGAGATTTTACACACCCGTTGGGTCTACTTAGCTCACGGTGTGAGGTTCCTTATTCCTTTACTTCTCTTTTGTTCTAGCCATTATTCAGAGTACGGTACTGAAGTATCAAACTATTATTGTAGAACTATTTCACCCTTCGATTCTGTAAGATTTTGCTTAATATATATTAGTCTGTCAATATATGTGTGAATATTTGTAACTGTTATATTTCTTCCTGTATTGAACCTTTTAATAACATGTAATGTCCTTTTTGTCTCTTATAAATTCACAGTCTGTTTTACCTGTTACTGAAATAGCCATCCCTGCTGTTTTGGTTACCATTTGCACATAATTCTGGGCTTTAATTTTTAGTTAAATCTAATTTGAAATAAAAGGTATCACCTGCTGATTCAAAAACATTTACTGCTGGGGACACAAAAATGAGAACAATATCATCTTACCCTTAAGAGGCTCAACAGTATAGTCTCACAGTCTTTAACTGGAATTCATATTTGAATTAATAATATGATTGCTTGATTCTCTCCAGGATGATATGTAACTAGTACTATAGTGGATGCAGGGGAAAGATGCTGATTCAGTTACACTTAACAGAGGTCTGAACATTCTATAGACTTAATCAGACTGCAAAACTCCTGTTAAGAAGAGCTGATTGGATAGTGACAAGTAGCTTAACAACAGTTTGGTAAATGTTATACAGAAACTCACTCTACTGAATAAAATTGTAAGAAATTTTAAGATCCATAATTGCACAGTAAAAAAATCTGATACACATTTTTTTTTAAACTTCATAATCCTGATTTACAGAGTTAATATTCTTATTTTACAAATGAGAAAACGGGATCAGAGGGTTTATATGACTAGCTTAAAGTCTAACAAGACATGATAGGATTCAAATCCATTCAGTCTAGTTCTAGCTGTGTTGTTCAGCTTTATGGTATGAAATCCCTAAGTACCCAAATAGTCTTCTTCCCATGGAAGTGAGGTAAAAGTTATGTTGAAGTCATAGTGTGTTACAAATCCTAACATGATTATCATAGTTATCGGAGAAAGGTATGTTCTACATGGAGCACAACCATCCCTCCAGGCCCCACTTCACCACATGGGCAAAGCTGTATTTTAAATAATGAAAGAGAGAAGAATGTGCAGTTTGTTTTAAGTAACCAGATTAAGATAATGCAAGGAGTACTGTTTTATATCTATCCTTTTTTTTTTGGTACTGGGAATCAAATTCTAGACCTTGCACTTGACAGGCAGGCACTTGTGCTGCTGAGCTACCTCCCTGGCCTTGTTTTATATCTTTAAAATACAATCTCTAGCTAAATCTCAATCTCTCTCAGCTCACTTAAAATAAAAGAACACTACATAAGTAATCAAGTATTACCAACAATCCAAGAGCTGCCTCACAATTTTACTTATTCAAAACTTTAAAAAAATTACTACATTAAAGAATACATTCTCGTTTTTTAAAACTGTAAAGTATATGTGATACATTTTGGTTATTTTTTAGCCTTTAAAATGTTTATTAGTACACGCTTGTGATACATAATGAGTGCATTCATTGTGGGGAGCTGGTACAACGTACACATCTTCTTTTTTCCATCCCTTTCTCCTCTCCCATCCTCCATCTCTTGGTCCCCTTTCCTTTTCCACAAGATCTATCTCCTCATTTCTATTAACTTTTTTCTCTTTATTTTTATTTTGGTTTCTGATATGAGAAAAACAATGTGATATTTAAGCTCATGTGTCTGACTTATTTCACTTACCATTATGGCCTTATGGTACATCCATTTTCCTGCAAATGACTAAAATTTAGCCTCATTTATGGCAGAGTAGTACCCATTATGTATAAATACTACATTTTCTTTAACCATTCACTTGAGGATGGATGTGCTGGACACTTCTGAGATTTAGCATAATATTATGATTTGTGATGCTATAAACACACATATTATGGTAATATGATGTCTTTTGCTCTTTTGGGAAGAGTTCCCCCAAAAAGAGGAACTGCTAGGTTGAATGGAAACATTTCATTATTTTTAATTGTTTAAACACATTAAAAACTAAAAAACAATTATAGAAAATAAAGATTGTGGTATCTTTTTGCTAATGTTGCAGGCTCACATTTTTCTGTAGAATCTTTTTCTAACAATCTGATTTCACAAAAGATTGTTCAAACTGCTAGGTTATTTCTGACAACATATTTTCCTACAGTCTGACATGTAAATAGCCTTTTATTACACAGTGATTCTTATTTATTTTATGGTAATGAGATTGAACCCAAGTCCTCCAGCATGCTAGAGAACAGCAATATCACAGAGCTACACCCTTAGTCCTTTTTTTACTTGATTTTGCAGTAATTAAGTTAGCCAGACTGGCCACAAACTTGCAATCCTCGTGCTTCAGCCTTCCAAGCCCAATAGCTGGGATTACAGGCATGTGCCCTTGTGCTTGGCTTGATTCTTATCTAATAACATTCTCCCCTTCTCTTTTTTAAAGTGGTGGCAAAGTTTATTCAAGAAAGCAAAAATCAAGAGTGAGAGAGAAACTGGCTCTGCAGAGTGAGCTTGGACCAAGTACATAGGAAAAGAGGGAGAGAGCAAAGAAAGTACATGCTGATTTCCTACCACTTTGTTTGTAACTCCGTATTGTCTGTACTGTTCTTTTGCTATTTTGTAAAATGTCTGTCTGTCTGTTAATGTCTTCCTTTTATTTTTAAAATAAAAAAAAAAATAAAAGAAAGTACATGCTGCGTCTGGGAAACACAGCATGGGCTATCATCGAAAGTTATGATAGCTGATAACATTCTCTTCTAAGTGGCAGCTTCTAAAATTCTTTTAGTTAATATGCAATAATGGAATTAAATTCCTAAAGTAATCTCAGGTCAAATAGTTGTTTCCTTTAATATATAGCCATAGAAAGCTAAGTATGTATTCTCCCTTTGTGTGGGACAGCAAACTCCTTTGCTTTCTCATGAAAGGTCTCTTTCCAACTCTGAAATGTTAAGATTTTAATAGTTACCAGCAGATACTTTTTAAATGCAACGTTCATATATTCATTTGCTTATCACAAAGAATATGCTGTTCCTAATTTAAATTATCAGGTTGAAAATAACTTAATAAGGTGTGTGAATCTGGCACGATGCTTTATACACTGTAGGCTACTGTTTGATATACAAGTTGACTCTAAAAGAAAAAAATATTTTAAAATTTAAATGAGAAGCTCTACTCAATTCTCTCATCCAAATGAATTTATATCTAAATGTGGCTATCTTCATTTTTATTATGAATTTATTCTAATTCCAAACATTTAAACATCAATAGACCATTGAATATAAAGATGAAAATCTAACCTTGCAATCAGGAAAACTTGGCTAATTTCAAAGCTTCGGTGAGAATATAGTTGGGTAATTATATCTCTCACATCTATCATTTTACATTAGGAAAAAGCCTCAAGTCTCATTTAATGCTTAGTCACTAGAACTGAATGCTTGATTTTTATATTAAAAGCAGAGCCACATTAATACTGACCCTTCATCTATCTCAGATATCATAATTATGGACTCAAAAAAACTGACCTTGCACATCCCAGACACTGAAATTGTAGAACAAACTGGTTGTGTTTTCAAAGTGGAAGATAAATTTGTAATTTTAAAAATAAATATAAAATCAGGATTTCATACCTTGTGCAAGCATGTTAAATTCCAAGAACAGTGCTATGTGGTAAAGTTCCATGGCTTCTTCTGCCCTGGTCATGTTTGGCTTCCCTGCGACGAGAGCCTGAACTTCACTGAGACTCCCCACAGAGGGGCTACAGTGTAAAACAGAGAGGTCTACCACATCGGTATACATACAGTGTAGTATCACCTTTGCATATTTTTTTGGTATAATGGATTCATCTAATATAATTCTTGTGGGAGTCCTCAAAGTTCGGTCTGTGATTTCTTCACCAGTCCGTATCCTCCTTTGTAATAAATTTCGAAAAAATGGAGACCGTGCAGAAATAATAGCCTTGTGGGCTTTCAGCTCTTCATCTAAACAGTTTTGATTTCCCCCAAAAGCTTCAACCAGTTCAGAATCTGAAGAAAAACTAAGGACGACATCATAATAACACATATAATCAAAGAGTCCACGCATATCTACATCAAGGGAGTTTGGTGTTCCGAATTCTTCACTAAGTTGAACAAGGATGTCGACATTTTGAAACCTTGAGTCCTCCATTCCAAACTCTCCTGTATAAAGGTAGTGTAACAAAGCAGAAAACATGGGCATATCAATACCAGCTGTATTGATGTCCATTATTATCTCTGCCCCATACTCAGGCGAGGAAGCAAGCAGTGTTTTAAAAAATGGACACCTTGCTGCCAAAATGGCACGATGAACAGGAAAACAAGTTTCTTGAAATATTAAGTCTACATCAGTACAATACTTATACTCATAAAGATCAGCCATATCTTTCTGCAATGTCCGGGCTTCTGGTCTAGCCAAACTGGCTTGCAGAGAAAGCTCCTTTAAGGCTGAAGTTCCCTCATATTCCTCCACTAATGCATTGACATCTCTAACATCCCATCCAGAGAGGAGTTCTCGCATCTGCTTGGCATGATCAGCAGACCTATTAGATTTTCGACGCTTAATAAATTTCTTTTTGAGGGTGGCAAGGCCAGAGGTTCTCTTTTTTTTGTCTTGTGGTTTCTCATGGCCATGGTCAAGGCTATATAATTTTGATTCACAACCATAGCCTTGCTGAGAATAGGATGATGTCCCTAAAAAGAAGATTAAACAAATGAAAATTTGTATTTCCCCAACATTCATCCTTAACATTAACATTTTTCACATTAATTTTTTTTTTGCAAACAATCTTGGACCAAATAAAACTGATTTTTGTTTTTATAAAGGAACATAAGAATTTCAAGTAACATTTTAAAATAGGAACAACCATAGCAAATTAATCTGAATTTTTAAAAATACCTTTGATCTCCTGACAAAGACTGAGAATCCCCTTTTTTGAGAGAATCTTGCTAAATTGCCCAGGCTGGGTGCTTCAAATTTACAATCTTCCTGCCTCAGTCTCCCAAGTAGCTGAGATTACAGGGTTGGACCACTATGTCCAGCCGACACCATAAATCTTAATCATAATTTTTAAGAAATGAGAGATAAACAGATTTATAAATTAGGAATACTGCTTATATATAATTGTGAAATGCTTTATCTTCTCAACTATGGCAAGGCTGCATTTGTATGGGTAAAATAAATGGACAGGACACACAAATGGAGATAGCTAATTTGCTAGGTAATTAATTGGCAACTATGGTTAAAGCAACTAAAGAAAAGGTCAATTGTGTTAGATAAGCAGTGTTTAAACAAAACTCATAGAAACCAGATTTCCATTTATGTGTGTGTGGGGGGGATAGAGCCTACTATAGAATTATTTATAACATCTTCATATCTTAATTCTTTTTATCCATAAAGACCACTGAAAATAATTCTATTCATAGTCACAAAAGAAAATAAAGTTAAAAAAATTGAAAGTTTACCTATAAAAGTCTGTTGGGCTTGGGAATTTCCCCCTACCCTCGGGGAACATGAATGAGGATAGTTAGATGCATTAGCACCCATTTTCTTCAGTCACTCAGGCATTCCATCGGCTGGTTCTTCAAAGTATGATCCCAGAGACCTTTATGAACCTTCAACCCTGGATCCAGCAGCCTCTTTTCATCCATTTCTTGATATGAAACAAAAATAATTTTATTTATTTTTCAAATGTATCTAAAATCAGTTTTTTTTAAAAAGCAAGCTACTGAAAATCACTTTTATTTGCAAATACTGTAATGATATGCTACTGATTTCCTATGTAACATTTTTAGAAAATATAAAATCTTTAATCCTGTATTATAAATCTGTGTTAGTTGCAATTTTGAGTCATTATATACTTTCTAAGATAGTAAAAAGAAACATACCCATCAAATTTTAACATATAATCATAGGAGGAATACTTCGAAGTACAGGGAAAGGTATTCAGACTAAAAAAAAAGTTTCAGTGAAAAACCCTACAGACAACCACTAGTCATTATAATATTCTAAGCAATGTACAGACACTTAGAAGAGGTTGATACCAGTACTGTGCATACCAAGAATATATAATTTTACCTGGCTAAAAGGATAGTGGTTTAAGAAGAAAAAAACCCTCACAATTTAAAATCCATCATGGAAATTGTTAGGAAACCAACCAGGAGGCAGCTTAACCTAGCCTTAAAATGAAGGATGTTTTAACAAATAAAAGGTAGAAAACACATGTAACTATGAAAAACCCACTGGAAAAAAAGAGCTAAGTTAAGATTCCTCGAATTTATTTTCATCTCTATTGCTAATATAAGTATAACCTTAGGAGTTCACATTTAAGAAAAATCATCATTAATATCTACGCCTTTCTCTGCATTTGTGTGTGTGTAAACATATATGGAAATTTATTTATCTAAGCATATAAATATCTACTTACAGCTGTCAGGATAAGACTGGAAAACTTCTATTAATTATTATTATTTTTTTTTTTTTTTTCCGGTACCAGGAATCGAAGTCACGACCTTGCACTTGCCAGGCAGGCACTGTGCTGCTGAGCTAAATCCCCAGTTCCCTACTTCTACTAATTAGATACTGTATAAATACTGTGCTATGTAAAGTAATAGTTCCTTCAAATTATATACTTATACCAAAACTTACCTACTTGCCTAGGAGAACAAACATCTTTAAATTTTATTTTAGTATTTATTGTTGGAGGCTTGAACTGATCTAGGCAGTTAACAAAAATATGAAAACGCATTCTGTAAGAACTACGCAGCAAAGAGGCTAGTGAGTTTAATATGCTATTTTGTGAATGTTAAAAACAAAACCTAGGGCTGGAGATGAAGCTCAGTGGGGAGAACCCTGGGGCCAATCCCCAGTAAGTTGGGGAGTAGGAGGAGATAAGCTTTGTATCTGGGAGCAATGGTGGCTGTAAAAAGTATGGGTCCAGTGTTTCTAAAGATATAGTTGCTTTCTGTTGCTCTTGTGGTAGGCTTCATCTCACTTCCTTCACTCATTCTTAAAGTTCCGTATTGCTTTATTTTGGTTTGCTTTTTAAATTTCTTTCGATTGCAGGGCAAACTCGCTGACACAAAGTATGCCGATGGCACAAAGAACACTGAAACACAACAAGGCAGAATAAAAGCTTGTTTCCAGAGGAAGAAAAATCACAAGGGTCCATGGAAGTGGCAAAATTTACCATTCCTACTTCAACACACTTGAGAAACATTTTCAACTGAGAACTTAATGTGGTTTGTAAGGCCACAAGACACTATTACACTGGCCTTTCTGAAATTTAAAGCACATCAAAAAATGCCTTTAAAAAAAGCTTTACTTTAGGCTGAACAGAATTAGACACTCTAGGAGAAACAAGAGCATGCAGCAAGAATTAGAAAAGCCACAGACTGAGCTACAGATACTTGGCTATTCAGCCCTACAATGATGAGGTTTCTTCCTGGGGATGTGCTTTGAAATAAAAGTAACTTTGGAATTTATGGACAAAGTCTCTTCTTGGTAGCTACGCATCAACAGGGATCCCCTTCATAATAACTAGTCTGGGTGACATTTATATCTCCCAGAGGATTTTGAATACCAAAATAAATAGGCCTTGGAAAGAAATGGCGGGAGGGGGGCGGGGGGGCGGGGGCATAGAGGGGTTCTGGATCAGATATAACTCTTCAGGCCACTCTGTGTCCAGAGTTCCAAATCCTATGGCTAACCCTGACTGGGGAATTCCAGTACAAAGCTTTATTTCTCAAAATTTTCAGAGAATAATTTTGCTGCTTCTCAGGTAATCAAAATTTATGCCAAATGGTATACACATTGTTATTTATTTTTAAATCTATTCAGCTACCTGTATATCTGAAAATGATAATTAATCACAGTCTAATCTCTCCAGAGATGGTTTTCTTTCCAGACAAGTCAGCTCTGTCTCTCACAGATAAAAGAATGAAATCCAATCTTTGGAAGATGGGGTAGGAAAGGAAAGGGAGGTCTACAGGACTGGAGGCTGGGCAGATCGATGTAAACAGTCCCAGAAGGCTGATCAAGCCTTTTTCTGGGATCACAAATTCTGTTAGTCACTAACACAATCAACCCAATCAGATGATATGACATTCTTAAAATATGCTTCATTGATTGCAGCAAAACCAGCTGAGGGGGAAAAACTGTTGAATATAACAGAGAATGAATAACACTGAGACATTTTTTGGAGTTTATAAGCCAACATTTTCTTTCCTCCCCATCCATCAAAACAAAACAAAACAAAACCTAGACCAGAATTCTCCAAAGTTTTCTCAAGTGTGGAAAATGTAGCCAGGTATGGTAGTGCACGCCTGTAATCCCAGCACTCAGGAGGCTGAGGCAGGTGGATCATTATGAGTTCGAAGTCAGCCTGGGCTACAAAGTGAGCTCAAGGTCAGCCTGAACTACATAGCCAGACCCTGTCTCAAAGACAAAAAAAAAGAGTGGAAATGTGATATTAAATAAATTTCTGATAGGTTTCTTTATCTTAAGATTTCTCAGCACTTTTAAACTGCTAAGGTGTGCTGTGAAGAGGAAGTACTGAGAATGATTAAAGGAGCCCTGCTACCCTATAGAGCACTAAAAGAATGAACTTAATACATTTTGGGGAAAAAAGCTGATCTTTGTTATAAAAACACTTACAAAACAAGCAGTTTTTACTCCTATACACAGTGGAAAATACAGTGGGAATTAACATGTTCTTGTCAGCTTGAGCCACTGGTCGTATACGCATGACTGTACCTTCAGGCGGCTTTTTATTAATTTTATTAGTAAAAAGACCAATAACAGTGATTAGATCTGTTTGTACCACCATTGGTACAAGCCACAGGGACAGACAGTCATACATGTACCACTAGTGGTTCAAAGCTGCTGCCAATGAGATATGAATTACGGCCCTGTCATGAACATGTTAAGGCATCTGGGACTGAGTTCTCCCTGTCATTGATTTACCACATATACAGTATAGAATGCAGGTAACTTTAATGAACCTGTTTCTGTATTTGTAAAATAAGGAAGAGCACAGAGGGTTTCTAAAACTCAGTGTAGCTGTATGACTTACTGATCTGGGAAATGAAGATGGGGAAGGGAGTTATTTCCATGTAAGATGTTAGTTTGATTATTTTAGATAGAAGGATAGGAACTGGGGAGCAAATGTGAGTAAGAAATGCAAACTGTAATAAAAGAGAAATACAAAACTATAGCAACACTTAACTCCTGTGAAATCAAAGTATCGTATACTGGAATATATTACTCAAACCATGAAGTTTGAGAGTGTAAGTTTTTTTTTTCTTGGTGGAACTCGAGTATGATGAAGCCAAGTGGGATAAATGGTCCTCCTACAGTCAGATCTCAATTTCTAGACCAGCTAGAAATAAAACAAAGTTTAAAAAGAGAGAGAAATCATATTGGATCTATTGGTACATTCCTGTTAGTTACTCCAGCACCTTGAGGCTGAGGAAGGAGGATCACAAGTTTGAGCCCCAGCCTGGGCAAATTAGCAACTTAAGAAGCCCTGTCACAAAAAAATAAAAAAGGATGGGGATGTAGTTCAGTGCAAAGGTCCTGGGTTTAATCACCAGTGCCACAAAAAAACTAACAACAATAAAACAAAGCAAAGCAAAACAATCCCTCAAAAACCTAAGTTAAAAGGAAATAATTTCATATGTCCATCACACATGCCAAGCATGTTTTACTTAACATCACAACACATATTTATTGACAGTTTACTGTCTGTCAGACTCTAGTTTTAAAGTATACACACACCCTTCATTTCACTCTCTGGAGCTTTTTTCCCGATGAGACTGAGAGTGACAGTGAGAGGTTAGCAATTTGCCCACACACAGGTAATTAAGTAAAAGAGCTGGGATTACTTTGTTTCTCTGTGAACCTTCAGTTTTATCCTTAGATACATTTTAAGAGTAACAAGACAGAAGTAGACTGTGGCCGGACTTGGTGGTGCACATCTGTAATCCAAGTACTCAGGAGGCGAATGCAGAAGGATGGCCTCAAGTTTGAGGACAGCCTAGGCTACATATTGAATTCAAGGCCAGCTTGAATGACACAGCAAGACCCTATCTCAAAAAACCGAAAAAAAAACAAAACAAAACAAAACAAAACAAAAACAAAAGCAGACTACGAACAGCAAGCAGAAACAGCAATAAACCCTTGCCTCTTCAAGGAATCTTCAAAAAGATGAGACCAGAAAGGAAGTTTAGAAAGTCATATCCAGGCTCTCTCTATGGCCATTTAATATAGACGCAGATGACCTCTAGAAAATCCTAAATATTCCAAAAGCACAGAGTAAAATCATGTTTATGATAGCAGCAACTTATTAAGGAAAGACTAAAGTTATGTTCCCTTAAACATCTACTAAGACAGGGAGTCAGAATCATGGAACTGCAAGGAGTCTTCAAGCTTGTTTTGGTCAACGCTGTTTTCAAAATGACTATACATCCACAGAATGTCAGAAAATATTTGCAAACCACGTATCCGATAAGGGATTAACATCTAGAATAGAGAACTACTAGAATTCAACATACAGCAACTCCACTCCAAGAACTTGAGCAATTATTTCTCCAAAGAAGATCTATCAATGGCCAAATAAAAATCTAAAGAGATATTCAGCATCACTAATTATGCTGGGGCTATAGCTCAGGGGCAGAGCACTTGTCTGGTGTACAAAACCCTGGGTTCAGTCCTTAGTAAGGAGGAAGGAGGCAACAATAACAGTATCATTAATCACTGGGGAAATAAAAATCAAAACCAAGTGAGATATCAATTCACACTCATTGGGTTAATTTTTATAAAAACACACAGGTGCACATATAAAAACTGTTGGTGAGACTGTGGAGAAATTAGAACCCCTGTGCAAAGCTGGATGAACTGAAAGCAGGGAATGACAAAGTATTTGCACATCATGTTCACAGAAACCTCATTCACAGCACCTAAAATGCTGAAGCAACCCAAGCACCTACCAACAGATGAACAGATCAGCAAATGTGGTTACACATACATATACAATGAAATACTATTCAGCCCTAAAAAGGAGGTGATTCTACTTGCACAAACTCATCCCTCCCTCCCTCCCTCTTTCCTTACCTTTTGCATTGCTGGGGGTTGAAACCAGGGTCTCATGCACACTTGGTAAGAGCTCTATCACTAACCTACATCTCCAGCCCTTGGATAAGCCTTGAGGATATTATACTAAGTGAAATAAACCAGTCACAAAAAGACAAATACTGCATGATTCTTTATCACTTCTATGAATTATTTCTCATATAAGGTGCCTAAAACTGTGAAATTCAGAGACAAAAAGTAGAATAGTGGTGGCCAGGGACTAAACAGAAGGGATACTAGAGGAACTGTTGTTTAATGGATACGGAGTTTCAGTTTGGGAAGACAGAAAGATAAAAAAAGTTCAAGAGATGAATGGTGGTGATAGCTGCACAAAGTGAATATGCTTAACACTACTGAACTGTAGATTCAAAAACTGTCTTCAAAGGTAAATTTTATGTTATGTGTATTTTATCACTGGATGTTGAATCTCCACTAAAGAGTCATGTGTTAAATGCCTGGTCTCCAGGATAGTGCTACTAGGAGACAGGGAACACTACGGAGGAGAAGCCTAGGCAGAGGTCCTGATGTTACTGGGGAATGTTTTGAAGAAGACTATGGGACCATGTCTCTTCCTCTTGTCTCTCTGCTCCTTGACTCATGCACAAGAGGTTCTTGCTCAGCCATAAGCTCCTGTTACAATGTGCTGGTTCCTCAGAAGCCCATGGCAAAGGGTCACCTGCTGTTGGACTAAAACCTCCAAAATTGTGATCAAAATAAAAATTTTCTATTTATAAGTTAATTATTTCTGGCATTTCATTATAGTGACAGAAAAGCTGACTAACTACAATTTTAAAAACTGGACAAAAGTAAGTTATAAGCATTGTTATCAAAAATTATTCGTAGCTCAGTGGTGAAGTACTTTACCTACTTGGCATAAGTGAGGCCCTGGGTTTGATCCCTGGCATTGCAAAACAAAACAAAACAAAACCAAGCTTTATGGCTAAGATTCAAAAAGGAAATCTATTTTCCAGGTAAAGTAAAGACAGATTAGTTATTATAGTAGTTATACTTAAGCAGAAGAGAATTCACTTAAAAAAAAAAATCAAAAACACAATGAGGTACAACTTTATCCCGCCAAGGTGATCCAGGTGTGGTGGTGCGTACCTGTAATCAGAGCACTTGGGAGGCTGAGGCAGGAGGATCACCATCAATCTGAATGTAGCCTCAAAAAAAAAAAAAAAAGAAAGAAAGAAAAGAAAATGCTGGCAAGGATGTGAGGAAAAGATAATTTTCCTACACTGCTAGTGGGAATGTACATAGGAAGAGCCATTGTGGAAAAGAGTATTAAGGTTCCACAGGGAGCTACAAATAGAAATGCCATACAATCCAGCAATCCTACTACTAGATTTATAGC